GGGGAACACTCTTTAGGGGGGGTAACACTCTTAAGGTCAGTTTGGGAACTCCTGCGATCACTCAATGCGCATCAGGATGCTCGACTTACCGCATCCATCCCTTCCAAGCGACACCCTTTGACCATCTGAATTCGCTCCGGCACCCGAGAGATGGCTACATTCTCGACCATCTATCCCAGGGCCGGAGATGTCTCGACGCTTTGCTGCGCATGGACTTCGGGAGCGCACCATCTCTCGGTCTTAGTTGGAGTCCAGAGTGGCCGGCAGCTTGCTTCGGCGAGTCACGAAGTGACATGAAGCTGCGCGGTTGTGATGCCTTCGCTTTTTTTGCAAGTTGTGATTATTCGATCCTTGGCATTAGGCGGAGTGATATGACACACTCCCTCAGACGAACGTGGAAGCTCCCAGAAAACCTCTGTAAACGGAGGTAAGGCATGCCTGTTGCTCTAAGGGCCTGCAACATGTCTTTATGGGTGCCTCTCGTTTGGCTGGGGTCGTGCGATCGCGCAGAAAGACCGTGGTCGACAACAGGCGTCTTTGTTCGCACGTCGGCGTTCTCAAGGGGTGTGTGCGAGTCACTGTCATCTTGCCGGATTAAGAAACCCGTCCTATTAATTGGAAAGGGCTTTCGCGAAACTTGGATGAAGTTTGGCGAATGTGCCCCTCAAGCCGGCCTAAGCCAAATCAATTCATGAGTCAAGCACATCGCAGATGCCCACCAAAGGCTTTGGAAAGTTCTCACATTCAAACTGGAAGCTGATCAACCGCCCTGTTCGGATTGAACAGGTGCCAAAAAGGGTGCAAGCCCTTGATTTTCAAATGCCGCTTTACACTGGCATAAGGTAAAGCGTGAGCCTTTTGCCACGGCTAGATGATGCGTTCCCCAAACACCCCAGCGAAGAATTTTTTGTCACTGTCTCAGAACTCCGAACAGAGGGCTTTGGGGGAGGTTCCATGAAATAGAGTGAATTGATTGCCCCGAGCTGTTCTGTGAACACCTGAGCTGGTGCCTCTGAGGGTCGGCCTAGAGAAAACAGCACGTCTGCAAAACGTCCAGAACGTTTCCAAAGGGTAAAGATGCCTGGTTCTCTTTGTTGCATTTTGCTTGGATGGACTTTACTTTTTAACCCAACGAATGGGTTTTCCTCATTAAACCACTAATTTAAACTTTTAGCAGGGGAGCAGAAAGCAACCGAGTTCTGGTCCTTGAACTTTCCGCTGGCTTTGGTTTGGTATCTCGATGTTCAAATTCGCAACAGTTCCCACTTCTCACTTAGAGCCCGGACCAAAGCCCCTGCAACAGTTGACCAGGTCAGAACACTAATGTGAGCAACTTCTCGAAACAACTGCACTGTCCCTTCAGAAGGGCGTTCCCTCCAAAACCCCGTTAATCAACCAGGGGCCAGGGGTTTCTTAATCCGGGGTTCCCATGAGTCATCTTCGTATCAGCCCGAGTTGCTCGGGCCACGGCGGGAAAAGACTGAACGAGCTCCGCGTGTTGGCGCATGGGATTTCTTCTTCAGGAGCTTGTCAGCGTCTAGATTTCTTTCTAGTAACAATCCTTAAAATCGTGAACGTGCAAATATGTCACATTTCAAAGTCGCAGGCTCGGGGAGGCGTACAACGTATGGGGCCTGCCTAGAAATACGGAAGCCAACACGTGATACCCCCCAAGACGGTATAATTGTGCTGTGTGTCAGTCGGGTTTTAGTGGTTCAAGCTGAAGTCATGCGCTTGCTGCTCCTGGCCAGCATCCTTGCGACTGCGCGCGGCGATGGGGAGTTAGTGACCACGACCACTGTGAGCACCAACAATTCCTGGCCAGAGAAGATGTGCTGCTGGTCTAAAATATAATATTATATATATATACATATTATACACACAAACCCACAGTTTGCCTGGCTAGCCAGTCGACTTCACTGCTGTGTGGAGGGTGAAAGCATCCTGACTGGTTTACAAGAGGGCTAAGTATGGTTGGAGGGAGAGGGAGGCAGCGAGGGAGAGTAGGAGGGGGAGTTAGAGAGAGAAAGGTGCGACTTACATGTGAGCTATCCCCTGCTTTGAAGGTGTCCGACATCCAAGGCAACCCCTACCATGGCGCTAGATACCTGCGCATTGGCAACGCCTGCTGCGTCACCTACGCTGGCTGCTCATCCAGTTGGGCAGCTCGGCATTTCAGCAAAGCGCCTTAATCGAGTCCCATTGGCCGCTTTCAATGTTTAGAAGCAACTTCCGTGCTACGGCACTCTGGGTCTTTCAAATAGTTGACTCACTTACCCAAAGCGAATCGGCCTTTTCACCTTTGGTTTAAGTGATGTGGCATATATTTGGTCAAGGTTCCAACATGTTAACCTTAACCAATTGAAAGCTGGCTCTCTGGGACAGAATGCAAGAAAAGAATGTGCCGGCACGTGGGCCAAAAATTGCGCGCGTGTGGCCGGGGGAATAGAAAAAAACGTGTCAAAAAGTGCAACCCTTTCCGGGTTGCGGCGCTTTGATGCTCAGCTCGCATGATCGCAGCGCCTGGTCGGAGTGCGTTCGGAGTGATCTCGGAGCTGGTTCGGCGCCGGGCCATTGGCACGGGCGCGCACGCTTTTCACAATATGAGTTTGGAGTGGCAGGAACAGCACTTTCGCGAGGTCAGCTACAGACTTCGGGTTTTCAGGCGCAGCAGATAGGAAGGAAGGAAGAAAGGAAGAAAGGAAGGAAGAAGGACCAAAAGAAAGCAGGAAGACAAGGAAGATGAAAACACGAAGGAAGAAAGAAAGAAAGAAAGACAAGAAGATGGACAGATGGACAGATGGAAAGAAAAGAGACAGTGAAAAGAAAGAACGGATACAAAAAGAAAGAAGAGAATGGTGATCAAGAAAAGAAAGAGATAGCGACCTATAGTTTTTATGTTGTTGCAACTTCCGCCAAGGCAGTAGGTCCTACTACCAGGCACAGAGCAAAACATAAGCCACAGAAGGAGAAGATAGGAATTGTCGTCAGGCTTGCATTGGGCTGCATGAGTCTTGGGCGCGTTCAATTCTGCTTCAGTCACCTGTTCAACTGGCTCCCTTGAGTGCCGCGGAGGTGGCAGGTAAACATCCAGCGAAACATGTCAAATGAGCAACCCTCCACATGTGCTATCATTCACGCTAGGAAATGGGATGGCATGGGGCGCACGCTCCCCAAGACACTATGAGGAAAGTCCGGGAGAGGGTACGCGTGCCGTCCCATGTCAGTTGGTGACCTCTGCTGAACCACTTCAAGCCGAGGATCTCTACGAGATCGAAGTTTACGATCTCAACAACGTGAAGTTGTCGCCCTACTCGATTTCATCGCCGCTTGGGCATTAAAAAAATGGGGGCGACCCTTTTCGAGCCAACTTCGATTGGAAGCCAATATTTGTTTCTGTTGGACGAAGATGTGTCATGCAAATGGGTGTGTCTTAAGATATGGGAAGCCTAAAATTGATGGTTGTCCTTTTGGTTTCCAGAAAACAACCAGCCTCCAAAAACATAGCCTCCAAAACATCGGCATACCCAAATGTTTGCTTTGGCCCATGTGTGAGCTCAAGCCTAAGAGGTTCAAGGTGAGAAACGCTTCTCAGGACAGGCAGCGGCAAGGGCCGGGGACCTGAACTGGCCTTGGATAGCAGTACGTCGACCTGGTGGGAAGGCGGTCGGCCTTCGCCGTCGCGTCGCAGTTCTCCTTGGACAAGAGCTCTGGGCAGGGAGAAATGAGACAATCATGTCCAGAATAAATTCCTCTAAGCGGGTATGAGTCAACATTTGGCCAGGTGTCAGTCCTTTCCATTTACCGGGGTTTCATGTTGGGTACCTATTTTTGACCCACAGCCAAGTGAGTAACTGGAAAGATGGCAGGGGGGAGCCGATTTCGAGGGCGTGTCTCTGTCCGGGCAGTGAGATGTCAGAAGTGGAGGATGTTGAAGGACAGTCGCAGCCATTGCTGATAGTTGCCCTCTTGACGTTTTACAGATTGTTGGATAGACCACCTTGAGTACCAGATTTTGCATCCAGGAAGCTGAGCCTCGCCTGATGCCGAGGTACTGGCAGCCAACAGTGGGTCTAGGTCCAGGTAGTCATGCAAGGAGGGTGCTGAAACCAGGGGGTAAATCAGATAGGTCAACCAGCTCAAATGGCAACGCATTCACGCAACCACGAGCAAATGCAGTGACCAAGCCCTGTTGCCCCTTCGCTGTAAGGTACCAGTTTGTGCAAACTTGTTCGTCAGAGATTGCCAGTTTCTTTCAGCGAACTTAATGCATCCTGAAATGGTCGCATCTACACGTTGAATCCGAAGGACCTCGGCTCAGCGGACAGTGGCTTCTGTTGCAAAAGCAATTTGCCGAAGAAGAAAAGTTGTGGCTTGAAGTGCAAGCTGTTTGTTCATCTCTTTGTTCCGTCAGCCACCTGTTCTCAGGTTGAGTTGACACTGCCACTCCTATTGCTTTGGCGTAGTGTTCAGCTCGAGGTGACTACGACGTTCCGCTCAACTGCGAATGCTGGAATGAGGACAAAGTCGGAGGCAGGGAACAGTCTTGACTGAGTTGCCAGATGGCTTTCCAATTGGTACAGCTTACTCATGCTTGCGCACGCGCATCCTTTTTGAAAGCAGCCTGCAACAGAGTACGTTTGTGGTATCCATCCGATGGTTCCCCTTTGTAGCTTGACAGTGATTATCACCCAGACTCTGCCCGTGTGCATAGTCATTGATCTCAAGGTGATCCAACCTTCATAGAAACCAGCGGAACCAGGAGATTCAGGAAGTTCACCCAATTTCCGCCCAAACCCTTGCGTTTCCGGCGTTTCCTGTAGAATCAACTTTTCGACAACAAGTTTCTACCTCCCACTCGCGGTATTTGTCCCATCCCGGTCTTACTGCACACTTTGTCAGGCTCTGTGGGGCCCCCAGGGTGGGGCTCTAAGAACGTGATTTGTCTCAGCACGGGCTCGGGTTCTCATTTGTTTCGCGCAACTGGGAGCCGAGCTGGTTGGGCGTTGAGCTGATGAGAGACCGATTCATTTGCGAGTTTCTTCCAAACGAGGTCACAGCAAGTGTCCCTTTTGAGGCCAGCACTTGGTTCTGGACTTGGGGAGCGCAGTGGGCGTCTCCAAGATCACTATCAAACAGGGCGGCTGGAGTGATCCATGGGCTGTGAAGCAGGCTGCTTGCTTGGATTGATTTGAGCTTTCCAAAAAATGGTACGATCCATTTGGCGGCAATGGACATGGGGGAGGAACACTAGGTGTCCGAAACCTGCTCCGAATTGCCACAACAGCAGAAAAGCATCCGGTTTCGTTGGGGGTTCTGTGGTGGACATGATTTAGCTGGGGCAACGTCCACTGGCCACTCTTGATGTGGTTCCCCCATTGATCAAGGGGTACCTTCCCCCATTCTTTCCAGTCAGGAAACCATCAAAGGTTCAGAGGAAACGGATCCGGTTGAAAAGAATGGATGAGGAATGAATCCTCAGAGTTGAGATGAGCTTAAAGCTTTTTAACCTGGTCTTCCCCGGGCGCATATCTTAATGGCCCTCTGGCAAATACACTGGCCCCATCTTCGATCCGGCAGAGAGGGGGAACTTGCGAGGGTTCAAGGGTCGGACCTGGGTGCTGCAAGTGGACCCAAACAATTGAAAAGACTGTTTGCCAGGGCCCTCCCGCACACAAACTGATAGAAGTTCAGGCTTTCAGCGGATCTCAGAGTCCTTTCTTGGTATTGGTGATGAGTTTGGTGTTTTGCGTTTGGTTTGGTACTGGCTTAGAGTATTGGTTTAGTATTGACTTAGTTGCTTTGCAACAAAAAAGTGTAGTGGCTCCTCTTTGCTTGGCAGAGAATCGCAAAGAGCTGTTTCAGAATGGCCCATCCTGAATGCACTTGCACCTGATGTTTTTACAGGCACCTGTCATGCCAACTGTGTTTTCCTAACTTTTGGGGAACCATCTTGAATGTCAAAGAAAAGCACCCCGCCAAAAAAAAAGCAATGAATAAAAGAGTCCAAAGGAGAGCTCCAGAAGCAATGGTGTTAATTGCTTGGACCCTTTGGAATGAAATTTGGTAGGAAGTGTAAGTGTGTCCCAACTACTAGAAGTCCTAGCTACATGGTCACATGCGTGGGTGGCTGCGTCCACGTGAGTGTGTGTGAGTGTCTCTGTGTGTCTCTGCGTGTCTCTGTGTGTCTCTGCGTGTCTCCGTGTGTCTCCGTGTGTCTCCGTGTGTCTCTGTGTGTCTCCGTGTGTCTCTGTGTGTCTCTGTGCGTCTCTGCGTGTCTCTGCGTGTCTCCGTGTGTCTCTGTGCGTCTCTGTGTGTCTCTGTGATTCTGCGTGTCTCTGTGTGTCCCTGTGTGTCTCTGTGTGTCCGTGTGTGTGTGTGTCTCTGTGTGTCTCTGTGTGTCCGTGTGTGCGTCTCTGTGTGTCTCTGTGTGTCCGCGTGTGTGTGTGTGTGTAAGTGTGTAAGTGTGTAAGTGTGTAAGTGTGTAAGTGTGTAAGTGTGTAAGTGTGTAAGTGTGCAAGTGTGTAAGTGTGTAAGTGTCTAAGTGTGTAAGTGTCTAAGTGTGTAAGTGTGTAAGTGTGTGTGTGTGTGTAAGTGTGTGTAAGTGTGTATAAGTGTGTGTGTGTGTAAGTGTGTGTAAGTGTGTGTAAGTGTGTGTAAAGTGTGTGTAAGTGTGTGTGTGTGTAAGTGTGTGTGTGTGTGCGTGTGTGTAAGTGTGTGTGCGTGTGTGTAAGTGTGTGTGCGTGTGTGTAAGTGTGTTTGTGTTTGTGTCTCTGTGTCTCTGTGTCTCTGTGTCTCTGTGTCTCTGTGTCTTTGTGTCTCTGTGTCTGGTCCTTTTCCTGTGCGTGTGTGTGTGTGTGTGTCTGTGTGTCTGTCTGTCTGTGTGTCTGTGTGTCTGTGTGTCTGTGTGTCTGTGTGTCTGTGTGTCTGTGTGTCTGTGTGTCTGTGTGTCTGTGTGTCTGTGTGTCTGTGTGTCTGTGTGTCTGTGTGTGTATGTATGTGATTGTTTGTTTGTTTGTTTGTTTGTTTGTTTGTTTGTTTGTTTGTTTGTTTGTTTGTTTGTTTGTTTGTTTGTTTGTTTGTGTGTTGGAGAGTACCCCAGTTTAAAGGAGCACGAAGACGAAGAGGAACCAGCATTTTTGGGGCTCCCCCTATTTTGACACATTCCTAAAGGTCAGGGAGACCCCCGCTTTGTTGCGACTCAGGTACAGGTGGAGTGCTCCCTCGACATGAACTTCGACAAAAGCGCCATACGCTATGACACATCCTTCGAGGAAACTGACCTGGAGTGCTCTGCCGGAGGCCAGGTCAAAAGCGCGCACATTTCCAGGGATCCTTCTCAGATCGACCTAGGAGTCTGGGACGGCTGGTGATTGTCCTCATTGTGTTTTACCGAGAAGAACGCCGGTTGAAAACCTACACATGGCAGGTTCCATGATGTTCTCGCTAGTTTTGGGAATTCCGAGCATTCAGTTGCCAAGGCTGCTCCATCACACGCTGCACCGGTTCATCGAAAACCTGCGACTTGCGAACATTCTGCGGCGGCGGATTCGCGGCACAGAGTATGCTCGCCACGACTTTGGTGGTTGGCGCTCAGCTGCTAGGTGCGTGCTGGTGATCAAAAGGTTCTTTACATGGGATGACCATTGGTTGGAACACCACCTGGTTGGCGCCTTCGCACATTTTTCGTTTTTGGTGCAACTTGCAGGGGTGGCGTGAGGCATGTTTGTTCATTCCACTGAAAGATGAGATTCCCCCACTAAATTGGGGGAAGTCACCCATGGTGATTTAGAGGCGTGCGAGTAAGGGTTACGGGCAAAGCCCAAGTCTGCAATGTTGGCAACTAAGTCTGGGGAACTTATCTGCCAGGCTGGGGCAAAATGTGTTTGAAACATCGTGAAAGGGATGCATCGTTGTATTCTATGTTATGCTATACTCATCTGTTTGAACCTGTCCTGATCTCGAATCAACATTGCGACCTCACCCTGGAGCTTGGCTCCCCGTCGTTTTTTGCTTGTCGCAGAGCTTATAGACCTGCAGACTGGCCGTGTGTCAAGCAAGCAATTTGGTCCCAGGTTTTTGGGGGTCTTGAACTTTTAAAAAGTCCTTGAGACCGCCGCGGGGGCAAAAAGGGGCAACAAGTACCGAGCTTACATGCATGACTCTCGTGCGATTTCCACGGGGCAGGGGTTGCAGATGTCAAGCCCAGTTGGCCAACACATATTTGAACATCAATTAGTGCTCCTGTGCAAATCAAAGTGAAAAGACAAAAAGCAAAAGGGGGTCCCCAAGAAACAATGCTCCTGCAAGGGCGGCATGTTTTGGCTTCCATGTTAATCAGTAAGGTCCTGAGACGTTTCTTTGAGTCCCAGACGTTTCCTTGGAGGCATCGGGGTGCCTTCTTAGAATTCAAAACCATCTCAATAAACAAAGCCCTTTTTCATGAGGTCCGTGGAAATGGCTGGTACTCCCCACTCAATCGCTAGCCTCAAACCGCCGAAGTAAAGCTGTGTGACTAGCTGTATCTCATGAACCCCCTAGGTCACTGGTTGGTGGTGGAAACCATGTGAGCGGCGTAAAACCCCTGCAATTGAAAGTAGTATTCGGGAGGAAATATGGTTTTCAATTGGTTGATTTTTCCAAGGCGGCGGAAGCGCCGCGAAAGGTTTGCAGAAGGTGTTTATCAGCTATGTACGCACGGAAGCTTCGCAAACATATGAAGTTGTTGTTTTCCTGCACGCGCAGAAGCGAAAACGAACTTCAATCCCATTTCTCAATCCGCGGAAGCGACGCGGAAGCGATGCCCTCTTCAAAACCTCTTGCGGAAGGAAAATTTCATGCCGTGGAAGCCTTCGCGGAAGGGATTTGATATTTCTCGTCGGCTGCAACTGGGTTTAGAACACTGCTCATGTGTGTGTGTGTGTGTGTGTGGGCGTGAGCGTGTGCGTGTGCGTGTGCGTGTGCTTGTGCGTGTGCGTGCGCGTGCGCGTGCGCGTGCGCGTGTGCGCGCGCGCGTGTGCGCGTGCGCGGCGCACGCGTGTGCGGTTGCGTGTGCGTGTGCGTGTGCATGTGCGTGTGCGTGTGGGTGTGGGTGTGTGGGTGTGTGGGTGTGTGGATATGTGGGTGTGTGGGTGTGTGGGTGTGTGGGTGTGTGTGTGTGTGGGTGCGTGCGTGCGTGCGTGCGTGCGTGCGTGCGTGCGTGCGTGCGTGCGTGCGTGCGTGCGTGCGTGCGTGCGTGCGTGCGTGCGTGCGTGCGTGCGTGCGTGCGTGCGTGTCTGTGTGTCTGTCTGTGTCTGTGTGTCTGTGTGTCTGTGTGTCTGTGTGTCTGTGTGTCTGTGTGTTTGTGTGTCTGTGTGTCTGTGTGTCTGTGTGTCTGTGTGTCTGTGTGTCTGTATGTCTGTATGTCTGTGTGTGTGGTGTGTGTGTGTGTGTGTTTGTGTGTGTGTGTTTTGAGGCTTCCCGTTTTGGTTTGACATGTTTGGAGGTCCCCTACTTTGAGACAAACCCATGTTAGATCTGTTGAAGTCTTCTGGTTAGCTGGCGTTGCTCCTGCAGGATTTGCCGGATGAAGCCCTTCAGAACGCGTATCTTCTGCAACCTCCAATTCACTGTCGTCGCATGGTGAACTTTAGCTATTGTCAAGCTTCACCATGAGAGTGCATGAACAAAATTGCAAAGCGTCCGATTGTCAACATGTGCCAGCATTCACTTCTGAACGTGCGAGGAACCAAATGACGCGTACACGTTGATTCAGCAGAATTTCTAGGTTGCAGATTCAAGAAAGAATCCTGGACATGCCAGATTGCGCAGCCTTCGCTGTCTAGCATGAAAGTGCACTGTAGGTGGTCTTTCAATCCGGTTTAAGAATCTCCGAAACAAATCTCAGGCTTAGAGGGTAAATGGCTTGCAGCCATGCTGCGATCCTGGTCAACTGCGGCCTTGGAACATGCGCAGACCAGAGGCGCATCTCTCGATGTCGAGGGCTCGTTCGGACTTTTCCAAGCGGAGCGTAGGGCTTGGCCTGGAGACGGCAGGGGACTTGGTGATGCTGCGGATGGTTGCGAAATCCTCTTAGGCACCACCGTTCAGAAACCCGAGAATGATATGATCCCCTGTAAATACCAACACTAAATACCAACACACCATGGCTTCAACCGGTTTCAACCATGGTGTCTTGGGTGGTGCGAAATGAATTTTGTCCATCCACAGTATCGCTCACCACGCCCAACGGGCCGCTTTCAAGAACCGCGGTGTGGAAGTGAGCCACAAACTTAAAGGCAGCGCCATTAGGCAAAGCCCGGAAGGGAAGGCCAGTGGCAGCATTGCTTGCCATCCAGGCTCATGCCGGCCTTGATTTGCACTCTGACTCTGACTTGTCACTAGAGCATTTGTGTGTGTGTGTGTGCGTGATAGGTATGTTCAACTGTAACATAGCTGTTTTCGCGCAAAATGAGGCAAAGTAGGACCTGGAGCCGAAGGGGCGTGTATGTTTTTAGGGGCCCGACAACTGGTGGTGTTGCTTTTGGCTTCCCTTTGAACCACAAAAGATTGGGTACCCTCAAAAGACACACCCAAAGACAACCCTGGAGACCTCTCGCCAGGTTCCGGCGATTCAGATGGAAGTCAGGATCTCAGCATCTCGGAGGAAGAGGATGAAGAGGAGCGATGTCCCTGCAATCTTTTCGGAAAATCACGGCAAGGGGGTTCCAACCTGTCGTGTTGTGGAGCCTTGACACGTCCTTCGAACCTCTGTAAATATGGTCCGCCACATTTTTTTTCGCGAGGACGGCGAAGCTGCCTCGCAGCCGCACAGCTGCAAGGTCTGCCAGGGATGCCTCACATGTGTGATCATTGTGTGATTTATTTGAGGCTCCCGATTGAGCTCCGTTTCAGACTTACTTGTTGGGCTTGGACTTAGGCCATTTTAGCCGCAAACAATAAGTCCTGACTTGTTTTTTGTTTTTCCCAGGAAGTGGGAAGATGATTGAGACAAGGTCTGTGAGAAATTGGCATGCAAGACGTGATAAGAAAGGCGCATGCGCCGCACTGCGACTGACTTGGGATCAAGACACAACCGGGGTATATTGTGTGTGCGAGTAGTTGATATCATAGCAGTTCACAGGGTTTCGGAAGACTGCGATCATCTCAAAACTTGGTGGCTCCCAGCCATCCGGTTCCTTAGCTTTTTATCCTTTTAGCGTTTAGTGGTATAGTTTCCGTATTTAACCCACTAAAAGTTAGTCACTTTGAGCGGGGGATCGGGCAGCCTGGCCAAGGGTCTCCTATCCACTTTTCTCGGAAGGAAAGCGGGTGATTCTGGCAACCGCTGACCAGAGCTGTTGTGTCACCGGCAAAAATAGGAATGCTTTTGAACATTCCCTCGCATTTCCGCAATTCCGCCATTCCGTCAAGCAGTTCTTTGTGCCCAAAAACCGGAGGCCCTTTTGGAGAGAGGTGAAACCCACAAGGAACCCATCCATCCACAATCCAGATGCTCAATGTTGGGTGATGTTGGGTGCGTGCTGTTCTGTTTGCTATGGCTTTTGCTCAAGCCACGGAAACCCAAGGAAACCGGTATTTTATATGGGCCTGTTGCAACAGGGCATAAAGGGTTCACAAATACAAGACACAAAACATGAGTATGTTATATATATATATATATGATATGTATAACATATATATATATACATATTGTATGTATGTGCATTTTCTGTGCAGGACAGGTATACAAAAGTGAGACATACATGCATGCATTATTCCACTCATACATACATACAAAAATATGCATAGATACGCAGATACGTAGATAACTAGATACACACATACATTGTACATCGATGCAAATATGTATATATAGACAGATACACAGATACTAGTAGATACAGAGTGCCACAGATAGATACCCAGATACATAGATACACAGATAGATGAATAGACAGATAGATAGATAGATAGATAGATAGATAGATAGATAGATAGATAGATAGATAGATAGATAGATACATCAATAGATTCAATAGATAGATACATGCATACATGCCTACATACATGCATACATACATGCATACATACCCAGATACATAGATACATAAATACATGCCTAGATACGTACCTGGATACATACATGCAGGCATTTAGGGATACACACATACATATATACATATGTACATACATACATACGTACATAGATACCTACATACCTGCATACATACTTACGTACTGACGTACTTCCGTACTTACTTACATACTTACTTACATACTTACATACATACTTACATACATACATACTTACATACTTGCATACTTACTTACATGTTCCGTTACGTTTCCTTACGTTATATTACATTACATTGCAGTACATTACAGTTTCATTACATTACACTACAGACACACATACACACACATACATACATACATACAACATACATACAGACAGACAGACAGACAGACACGCACACACATACATATACATATACATACACACATACATACACATGCACATATACATATCCATATACATATACATAGACATACACATACACATACACATACACATATGCATATGCATATAGATATACATATACATATACATATACATATACGTACGTACATACGTACATGCGTACATATCATACGTATCATGAATATCATACATATCATACATGTCATGCAAAGCATACATACATACATACATACATACATACATACATACATACATACATACATACATACATACATACATACATACACATACATACATACATACATACATGCATGCATGTATGCATCCATACATACATACATACATACATACATACATACGTGTAGGTCCTGATGTTCATGCACACGTTCGCTTTGTGGGAATTGTGAGGGCGCACCTTCGGGCTTTGAGTCTCCAAGAGCGTTGTCTCAGGACAGGCTTATGCTTTCGCATTGGCCTTTGGATCGGATATATGCTCCCCACTTGGGGCCACCTCAGTCTGGCCAACGTGGGACGCTCCTGGGCAGCCGGGGCCACTTGTCGAAAACATCAGCCGCAACTGGAACCGACCGAGTGACACGTGGAATAGACTCGGAGACCAAGAGACCCATCGGCGAAATCCGTGAGACTTCTAGCCAGGGGCTTGAACCCATCCACTTTCGACCAAGGCCTTTGCCTTGTGGCATTGCACCATGGCTGCAGTTTAACTCACTCTCCGAGCTCCTGGAATTCATACTTGTTGGGTTTGGACCATAGTGGACAACAAGTTTGGACTTGTTTCATGGCCAATCCACTCGAGAAGTCTGCTCAATTGCTTCGCTTTCACAAATCGCGAAAGGCCTGGCCCGTGCTGTGCTTCCTACAAAAGGGATTGTTGCTGGGGTAGACTTAGGATACATTTTACATTTTACCAGTGACCCCATGTGAAGCAAACAATAAAATGTACATTCTATAACTGGGCGTAACTCTATGGTTGGTCTGTTTGCTACGCCACTTCCAGTCTGCCAGCAGCGGATCATGGTCTCAACCATTGCTTCCGAACGGAAGCGTGAGAGGAGGAATCCCTCCAGCTCCCGCTGCTTCGCCTTTTTCGCAGGTCTCACAGCCGGAGTTAAAGTTGCAGCTGGCTTTTGCTGATTTCGGCAAGGTTCCGTTCGTTTTTTCTTGCATAGTACATAGGAAGATACTGTCAAGCCCTCAGTACCGGAGATTGGATTTGCATTTGCACCAATGTCTATGGGTTTGGGCTTAGTAGTTTCAGACGACAGACGACCAATGAAGCCGTTATGCACAGATTCCACATTTTGTGTGTCTACGTCTGAGGCTATCTTTTCTTGGCCATTGCCATAGTCCTCTTCATCAACTGCGCCGCTGCGGTGCTGCGATGCTACATCAACTGGTACGCATTCCTGCGCCATCCCTATCTAAGTTGCTTGGCCATGTTCCCTAACTGTTTCCGTCTGACTTGGCGAGGCCGAGGGTGGTTGGCTTGTTAAAGGCACGGAAGTCGCTGTCAGTTTCGTGTACTCTGGCTTTCAAGAAGCACGGAAACGGCGCAGTGGTTCACAAAGTTACTCTTAGGGCAGTCAGTGAACAACATTCGCCAATTTATGTTCGAGACAGCAGCCACATGTGCAGCGGGTGTTTTTTTTGGGGTATGTTCAGCGTGGCTTGGGAAACCAAAAGGAGGTCAAAGGCGAAGAGTTGTTGGGTTCGCCTGTGACACGAGGTGCAGATTTGATCCACGGAACTCGCCCGGACAGTTCTGAGGTCAATTTCGGGTGGTGACTCTCTTCCTCGGCGCCTTTTTCAGGCTCGGGCTCAACATGTGAGAACCAAAACCGGTCACGGCCGGAGCACTTGGCTGGTTTTCGATTGGATGGATTGAGCAGGACTTGGTGATATGGCAGTGGCTCAAAATTTAAGAGCTAGGGTTACGCAGGTTTTGGTCCATGTTTCCACTTACCAGGGTTCCGTTTTGGAATTCCGTTTTTTGAGCCATACCCATACCTGTGGCTTCCTGGCGGGTACATGTTTCTGCTGTTTGGTTAAAAACAATGTTTTCCATCGAGACGGCACCTTTTGTGCGAAACGACACTTTTGCAAGTTGAGCAATACAGGCGGTTGCTTACTGAATCGAAACGGCAATTTTACCCGTCCAACCGGCAACTTTTCCCGTCCAAACGGCAACTTTTCCCGACCGTTGCACGAGCATTTTGTGAAACGGCAGTTTTTCAGGCAAACGGCGCTTTTTTCGTGAAACGGCAGAAACAAATGCCTTTTCGCCAAACGCCAAAAAAATGTACCCTCCGGAGGTCGCAGGTATATTCTATGCCGCAAGCATCCACAAACCGACGGATCGCAAAAAAGTTTTCGCAGGTTCCCATGCACCAGTTCCATTTGGAGACAGACGCAGGTCCTTCCTTCTGGTCAGCGTCACCAGCGATATTTTGCGATTTGCCTACTTGCTTTGTGTGGATGCATGGCGCGCAGACGCCTTTGAGGCGCGACTCCAGATGTTTCGGGCCGCGGTTGATGTAGCGAATGTTTGGTACGTGACATGGAATACTATGTGACCGACTGTTCAAAGGCAATCCGCAAGATCCTTGAGTTACGCAAGGGTTTGGTCTTGGTTGTGGCTTTCCATAGGGATTATGGATTAGGATTGGCCATTACTCCATTTTGAGCCTAGTCAGAGACATTCCATACCCTCACACGAGAAATCATGAATCAGCCTGCGTTCCCTTTTGTTGATGACAAACCCCAAATGGCTGCGCAGGAAGCATGCCTTTGCAGCGTGCTGGCAGCTAATTACATTCAATCTTGAAACGCACTCCAGGTGATGCTATAGTCATGGAATATTCCATGAGGCATTATTTGAGTTGGACAGATGCGGTGTAAATTAACATGGTAGCCTAAAAGCTATGTGGTTCTCCAGAAGGAGAGTCCGTTCCGTGTGGCGAACGGCCTATTCGGAACCCCCCAAAAGCTATCTCCTTTTGCCGGCCATAACCCAAAATGGGTTGCCATGACTCCTTTCTCATGACATGTAGATTCATGACCCCCATTTTTCATGGGTCATGTGGGTCTGTCGTGTTGTTTTGGGGGGATTTCCCAAACCCTTTAAAGACCACACGAAATTGGGGACGCCCCTCCCAAAAACAGAAGACATACCCGATGATTCGCCTCGGTAGGCGTACCGGCGAATGCTGGTTAGCGACGCCTGGGAAGAGCTGAAAGCGGGCTCGTGCCCCGAAGAGATTGGTGGTCTTGGCTTGGTGCGATAGATATAGTGGTTGAATGAACCCAGGGATCCCTGAAAGGACAAAAGCGCCCCAATGGCCGGAGACATCCAAGTCGGGCGTATTGCAAACAAATTTGTGTCCCTTGTTCGATTCTGCCGCACTATCGGTCCTAAGTTGTTCCAGTCTGTAACGTCAAAGCGCCCATGTTCTTTCAACATTCCTATACATGGGTCTGTCCATTGTGGGGTTGGTTCTTGGGAAACCACACATTCTTGCAGTCCCCCGATTTTGACATGCCCAGACGCTTTGTATGAAACCGCTTAGCTTGGCGTGCCAATTGATCTCAGGTTTTATTGGCAGGGCTGGTCTCCGGTCCTCACTCGTCGCCAGAAGGCCTTCGACATCATTTTTCAGTGCATCAGCCGCTGGGACGGCGATGTGTGTCGGGGTTTCTCTGGCTTGGCCCATTTTGGGTCCCCAAAAGTTCGGCTTCCATATTAGGTCCAGGCGGCGTATGTGTCACAATAGCAGGAGCCCAAGAATGGTTGCTTACCTTCTGCCTCAAAACGCATGGGGACCGCAGTGAAAGTCAGGATTGCCATCATGTTTGTTGGCTAAGGGTCGGACATGCACAGTTTGTCACTGTGTAATGGTTCAAATCGGTGAAAGGACTTCTTTACCGGGCCGCTTTGCTGATGAGGTGTTGATAGTCTGCCATGATGGATTGGGTGTTCATTCTGAGTGTGCTCAAGTTCGCAGGACAAAATCTGGAAATGCCACCTATGACATGATCACCAAGAGGCCCTGTTCGTTGTCCGACCCCAAACCAGCTCTTTCACCTCCATTTGACCTGTTTGGTATTTGCGCCCAAAAAGAAAGGTAGGGGTCGCGAACAGGACATGGTCTGATGAGACAGGACGCTGCCGCAGTTGTTTCGAATGGCAACAAACAAAAAATGGGTTCCATGTTAATGTTCAGAGCGTGTGTGTGTGTGTGTGTGTGAGGCTTTGAGGTTGACGGAAATAATCATTCATATTTCAACGGACACAAGATGCCGGAACCTTCATCCTGACCCGCACAAGGAATGTTGACTGGAGCATTATTATTTTGCAGATGCGTATATTGATTTTGGAATATGAAGATCAATGTCGTTGCAAGCATCTGATGCCGTCCAATGCAGTCGGATGCAATTCCGAGCTATTTTCCGAGTTTACATCACGCTGGACATCATGCCGGTTGTCTTGTTCTTCGCAGCGCTCTCCTCTGACTTGCTCACCCACGTACGAGTTTGCGAGGCCGCAAGCTTTCAATGGCTTGTTGGGTCTCCAATCAAGCACTGGAACTTTTCAAGTTGCAAACAACCAGTTTGGAGATAGTGTCGCCCAGTTTTGACTTCGGAGACATGCACCTCATCAGCTGATTGAATCATCAGTACAGGCGCTCGCGTCTTCGAACGTTCACAAGATGTAGTTGGGATGGAAAAGTGACTTAGAATGCCAGCTCAAATGTAGTTGACTGCAAGTGGACTGCAAATTGGCTAAATGTAGTGGAGACGACCTCATTCAGGAATTCTGGAATTCCATATAAAAAGAAAAAACATGTCTCTAGGGGTGGAGGGATTGATTGGCGATATTTCATTTTTATTTTTTCTTCCGGACCACTTGAATGAACCCCCAAAGTCCCATCGCCAGCTCCATTTGGGACATGAGGCATCCGATCCACCCAAGCGTGCCCCAAATGGAAGAACTTGGGTTTGTCTGAACATAAGGGCACGTCGAGGAAGGTTGGTGTCCTTGTGGTTTCCGGCTAAGACCAAAAAGAGTTTCCCAGAAAGAGGCAGACCCACTTCCACTCTTGCGTTTTGGACTTCTTGACGTTTGCACCTTTTCGGCGGCCTCTTCTTCCCATTCTACTGGAAACTAAGCGGTTTCTCGGCACTGCGCAGGGGACTTGCCCTCCTCGTGCGGGAATGCTGCATTTGCTTTGCCTTCCCTTCCCTTCTTTGCCTTCTTTATAAGCCAGGTTTATTGATGAAGATAGTAATCAGAATATACCTGGCTTGTTATGACAAACCTGGCCGAAGGGATATGAGCAAAGCTCCGAGGGATTTTTTCCGTGCCGGGTTGAGTTGGCGGTTCTTCGGCGAAGGAATGAACGGAACTCTTGCCATTTTGGTGTGAATGTTGATAGGCTCAATCCTTGAGTTCCTGGACTGCTTGCGGGAAGACCATTTTAGCTGCAAACATAGTAACTGAAGCGCCTTTTGTTTGCCAACCCACTCAGGAAGTGCGTTAGACCCTTTGGTGGGCATCATTTAGGTGTGAATTCATGTGTACCAACCACTTTGGAAGTGGTTCCTTTTTGCAAGTCACACCCATTTACTTTCATTTGCTCAAGAATACATGTTATTCCCCGCTGTTGGTTTTAAAGGGAATCTATCACTACAGGAAAAAATATCATCTTTTTTTTCAGGTGGCGAAGAAGCAAATAGAAGATTTGAAGGTTATGTTGATGAGCAACATGATCACTGGATCCGAGTGCCGTTCCGGTTTCCGGCTTCCTGAGGTCTGCCTAGGCATCGCCATGTTTCACCTGTTCGCCTTCTACTTCCTTTGGCTCTGCGGAGAGGTCACACTAAAGGCCGCCTAGATTTTGAGAGACCTGAGGGTCATTGGTTTTGACGGCGTCTAGGGGTTATCAGAGGCATTGGGGGTTGTTTCCCTTTAACCTACCACTTGGTGGGTGACGCTTGAATGGGACCAGACTGACTCTGTGTTTTTGAGACAGATTTTCTTGGGGTCCCCAACTGAAGAGGCAATCACTGGAAAATCTGGCATCTTGCAGTGACTAGAAGGCAGGGCGGAAAAAGAACTGAACATGTCCCATCGGGGGCCAAATCGATGCAAAAGTATCACATGGGCTCCTGAAAAACACAACAGACGTGTGTAACGCACGCTCCCCGCTGCACCCACGTCTGCCAAATGCTCAATGATAAGCACACCCACTTCAGAGCGCTCGCGCAGCACAGCACCCAGCCCAAAAATAAGCTCGGAAGCGCACGCCGCTGACCTCTGGAGCACTGCCGGACGCTAAGCTCTGCACCCACGCCTAAATGATAAGCTTGCCAGCTCAAGCGCACGCGCGTCGCCGTCGCCGAAGCTCCTTTAGAAGCATAGCTGACAGCCAAAACGAGTTGCTGACGCACTCTTGCGGCAAATCGAATGGGTGAAACTGGCCGGTACCCCTTTGCAGTGGACACGGGCCGCAGATGAAGACGAAGCGCTGTTTTCCTAGAGAAACCAAACAGATACGATAGGGGCCCAATTCATAAGAACGAGGTTGTGATCTCATTTCAAACCAAATTGAGTCCCAATCACGTGCGAAAAATGCTCATGGTTTGTTCGTGCACGCTGCAGGCAGTCCACTTGCTTGGATCATTCTTTCGCGGGGGCCACCAAAGTTGTGGTGTGAAAGCAAAGGGGTACCCTCAAAAAAGAAGAACTCAGCTTGGGAATTGTTTGTACGGGTGCTCACCCGCATGGACCAGAGAAGGGGTATGCGTGGGCCCCAAGAATGGGTTTCGGTTTTCCCTGGTGGTTTCGCACCAAGCGTCAAAAATAGATTGGGTTTCGCCATCATGGGTTGGTTTCCCAACAAAAGGCAACCACCTGTAACTGCCGCCTCTGGCGAGGTGAGGTGCTTCCGCCGTGCCTGGCGATCTGCCCGCGCAGTGGACTTGCAGCGGGGTCAATCAGGCGAGCGCAGGAAGCCCCATGCCCCTAAGTCGTGGTCCCAACCTGGCGGGACTTTCGAGGTTTGGTTGCATGGTTGAAAAAGCAGTTGCAAGTTGGACTGGTGTTTCCCTTTAGTTGGAGTTTTGGAGGCGGGGGTGCAAAAGGCAGTTTTTTCATGTCGAAGTTCGGCTTGTGAGGTCATGGAACCCAGCTTCACCTCTCGTTTGGGGCAGACCCCCGAAGAATCTCCTGACAAAATCCGCTTGACAAATCAAGAAGAGAGCCGCTCAGATGATTCCAAGCAGCTTTCTTTGAATTCTAGTCTTGTGGCCAGGACGTTGTTTGTGAGTGAGGGGATGTGTGCTTGCCATCCTTTAGCCTTCTTTATGCCAACTCCACTTGGCAGCTGAGAACCAGAAACATCGGCTGGAGCAGCCCATTTGATGGACAAAATCCAGATGTGTCTGATGGATGAAACTCTGCCATAGACCATCTCAGGATTTTGTCCATCCACACAAACTCCCTCAGCCGGTGCATCTTCATCTTGGGGAAGACTCACTGACCTCAACTTGCAGCGATCACTTGGTGAGTGGCACGACCATATAAACTTCATCCCGCTGGATTGCTGGATGCTTTTGTAGCTGAGCCCTTCATTGTGTTCCTACTGTGGATGGACAACATCCATTTCGCACCCAAGACACCATGGTTGAAACCAGAACTTTTGTTGGTATTCACAGGGTGTCAGGGCGAGTTGGGCTTCGGGTGAGGTTCCTACATTGCTTCGACCCCAAGGCCTTAAACCCAGACTGAACAACTCGGGGATCTTGGCAAAATGCTGATCCTGGCTGATTTAGAGCAAGAGCCTGGGCGTTTGGAGGAGCCTGGGAGCTGTGGATGGTTGCGAAATCCTCTTAGGCACCACCGTTCAGAAACCCCTGTGAATGATATGATCAATTCGAACTGCACTCCATTCGGGTGATCTGAAATCCATAAACCGAATATGGGCGTGTCTTTTTCGGAGGGTGCGCTTTTGTGCGTTTCAAGAGAATCCAAAAGGAGAACCGCCATTTTGGGCTCCTCACGACACACCCATATACAGACCGCCGAAGGGCAAAAATCGGCCCAAAACTGAACCCACGCCCGCCGCACCCCGCCTTCCTTCGTGAATGCCGCGGCCAGTCATTCAGAACACCGTGAACGCGAACATTTGGATTCCAACGCAGATGCAGTTCGAGAATCCCGATGCGGAGCGCCGAGCCTTGGGCAAGCCTCCGAGATCAGAGATTGGCCTCGCCTTTCAGAGTCTCTGGTGATGTGATGTAAACAAAAAGACGGCCAGTTAGTTAATGTTTTTTGGACGACCATTTAGTAGGAATTCAATTTCACCAAGAAAGACCCCACAGAGTGCGGGTTAACTCATGACGCGATCATCGACAGATTGCCCAACTGATATTGTGGTGGGCAAGTGATGGAGTGACATTGATGAACTGGGACGCCCATGTGTGCGGGAAAAGAAGCCTTCGAACCAAAAACGCTAAATGTTGGTCGTTGTTCGGGAGAAGGATCATTGTGCCGTGTTTGACGCAAAGGCAACCTTGCTCATCCAAAGTTTCCGGATGTATCCGCCCTTTTCCCTTTGTTTCCGCTTTTGTTCCGGGTTCCGTCCAAGAGGCCCTCTACCCACAACAAGGGTCGAAATCTGGAAAAAGGCGGTTTTTCACCAAACAACACAACAAAAAGGAAAACAAAAAAGCGAGAAAAAAAAAGGCGCACAAACGGCGTCACAGGGAGTCCCTTGTGTAGGTCAACTTTATCGACCCATTTGGGACATGTGAGTCCCACATGTACCGGACACTTGCCGACCAGCCCGTGCTTCCGAGGATCGATTTGTGTGGCTCTGTGCACTATCTTCCACTGGGTTGAGTACCTCTTCCCGGCCTTGGTGGGGCTGATCACATGCGCTACTTGTTCGATTCAGACTTGAGCCACCAGACAACTTGGCACAAAGTTCTGAAGCCACCATAAAACCCAGCAGCTTGGTCTTTCTTTGCACGGTCGTTTTCGCACCAAGCCGGCCAAACGATCGCCGAACATGTTTGACGGTTCTCACCAATCAGTGGAGCCTTCCAGGAAAGCCAAGTAGATGTTTGGCGTCCTTCGCCTTTTTTGCACCATGGAGACATCCCTGGCACGAGAAATCAGGTCGCAGGCTTCCTGCTGAACAAGCAGCGCATGGCAGAAGTAGGCGCGGCCCGCGGCGGAGTTCGCCGAGTTCGCCTATGCCTCTGAAACACGGAGGTTCCATTTGCTCACTTCCTGAGTTCATGAACTTTAAACTTTTTGGGAAGACCATTTTAGTGGTAATTATAAAGTTTGAACATTTTGGGGCCATCCACTCAGCCAGTGAGTTTGGGACAGTTTGTTGGCTCTTCGACTTTGCAAGGATTCGATTGACTGAGAGGGGCTCGGGGGAATGCCGACGATGTTGGTCTTGGCAATGCAAGTTCAACTGATGTTGCAGCATTGTTCTGTTTATTGGGTTTTGGTACATCAAGCTTTAGTGGGATACATGTTTGGTCCCAATGTGGAAGGTTTCCCTGCATGTGTCACTGCTCTAACCCGCTTTTACATCGCAGGGGACTCTCGAGCTAAGTCCAATCGATGGCGTGCATGAAGCATGATCCAAGGTTTCTTCGATGTTCGTGTGGGACCTTGAATTTGACCCAAAGCTGGAACAATGCCAACAGTCATTTGGAGCCTCTTCTGTGGAAAATGGAGAGGGTCTGGGAGACTTGGACTTGGCAATACTGAGTAGAATTGCCAAGACTTGATCTCATATGTATCATACTCAAACTGGCGTTCCCAATTTCAGATTATGTATGCCAAGATTCAGCCAGTATGTTGTGTATTATTAGATTTAGTATTGCCAAGGCTTCGTCTCAGATTCCAGATGCACCCGCCCTTTGAGATGACGGGCTACGGCCTGGATCTTGTAGTTTCACATCCACCCAAAAAAGCTTGCCATTAAAGCGATCGAAGCGGACCCCAAAACAGTCAGATGAAGAGGATCAGGGGTTTTGTGGGGTACCCACTTCTGTGACTGTTTCACCTTGGTGTTTTGTATAGGATTTATAATATTTGCGTGCAAAACCGATGGTTTGAGGACCACTTCAAAAACAGGAGTTCCTATTAGCCCGAGGCCTTTCGCTGGCAAGGGGCTGGGTAGCGCACCCTTCAAAAGTACAAGGCCAAGGCTTTGGTCTGGTATTTTGCTTGCCCGCTTCTAATTTTTTCGGGGGTGGGAACAGCCTTGCTCTCTTGAATGGGGGGGGAGGGGAACAAACTTTCTACTGAAGCCCATGCGGATTCCGTGCCAATGTTACGGTCGTACAAAGCCTCCAGTGGCCGGAATGAGCTGCTGCCGGGCCACATGAGAGATTACCGAGGAGTTCAATCCATCCAGAATCTGATATCAGGTTGCCCCCAATTGGTGATTATTGAACCCCCGGTACTTGTGAAGCCTCCCCCAAACTTCCAAATCACCAATTTGAGCGAATGATAGTGACCACTTCCGGTGCACTTTGCCTGATTCTTCCCTCAAGCCGAAGAGAACAGCGTTGAGCAGCCGACGCGCAAGTCTGGCACCTGTCGAGGCGTACTCGCCACCATTCTGACGTTGTTTGCATGGGGCTCAGAGAGAGAGAGAGAGAGAGAGAGAGAGTGGGAGGGAGGGAGGGAGGGAGAGAGAGAGAGAGAGAGAGAGAGGGAGAGAGAGAGAGGGAGAGAGGAAGAGAGAGAGAGAGAGACAGAGAGATAGACAGGCTGCACTGCATTGCACACCTCGATCAGCGGATTCCTTTTTTACGATTCGACGAACAAATACACCAAAGTGTTCTGTCAAACGGCCAGTTGGTTCTCAGCACTTCGCTAAGTTGTTTGTGTTCAGTCTGTGAAAATGTGCACTTGCCACTTCATTTTGTCTGGGTGAATTATAGCGGCCTCACACAACCTCACCCCAAATGGTGGTTTATGTGGGGAATATGCCCCCAACCACCTTATTTCAGCAGGGTTTTTTTAAAGGATATATTTTGCCCATTTGAAACATGGCTTTTCCCACCAAAATAAAGGAAAACCACCATTTAGAAGGCAATGTTCAGGTGTATAATGTAAGGATCCCTGTTCAGGTTGGTGAAATATTATAATTCACCCAGATTATGTCAATTGCATTCAGCCTCGATTCAGCTTTCGCTCAGCTTTCGCTGAGGTCATGGCTGGTACGCACAAGGCCTTGGAGCGCCTCGGAAGCGAAAGTTGGCCCAGTTCTCTCACTGGGGCCTGACATTTTGGAGTTGGTACTGGTTTTGTTGTGTGTTTTGTTTTGTTTTTTGGTAAAAACAAATAGCTTGTCAAGAGAAATAAAAAGGAGAACCACCATTTTGGGGGTCACCCTATCTTGCGAAACGCCCATTTTGGTTGATTGATCCCCAGCAATCACACGCGCGAAGGAAGAAGTGGGGGGATTGAACCGCATTTGATAGAGGCTAAATGGGAAACGACCCAAGAGCACCTTGCCGACTTCCAAAACCTTGAATCAATTTTTGTTGAATATGTTTGCACTGTTTTATTAGCTTTTTGTTGATCGATTGCTGTTGAAAGATTCAACGGCAAAAAGCTGCATGCTTCATCATGAGCGGTCCCTTTCTGTTGACCTTGGCCGCAGCGACAGTGTTTATTTGCAGAACTGGAGGAAAGGCCGGGCGGACACATTTTTAGTTAGCACACTGAGTTGTGTTGCAGCCGGATCGGGCTCAACACCCAGAGCGTGTTGGACACTCGGGTGGGTCTGTGTGTCTCTGTGTCTGTGTGTCTGTGTGTCTGTGTGTCTGTGTGTCTGTGTGTCTGTGTGTCTGTGTGTCTGTGTGTCTGTGTGTCTGTGTGTCTGTGTGTCTGTGTGTCTGTGTGTCTGTGTGTTGGGAATGAAGGTTGACTGCTGTCGGCGCTGTTCTTGCAAAATACTGCTGCCAGGTCCCCCAGTAGTGCCCTTTCTCACCCTTTTTGGGGGAGGGTTCCCCTACTAAAATAGACAAAACCGAAACAAGTTGATACCCTGAACCTCTCCACTGGAGGACCTAGGCTGCCATGGCGCAAAGAAGCTGCAAGCCAATGTTGGAGTCAGAACAGGTTCCCAGGCAGGACATGTCAGTCGTTTAACGTGGCGGAGTGATTAGTAAAGCCCCCCCCCCCAAACGAATTACGGGGTGGGCGGGGGGTGGAGTGGAGTCAATAGGGGAAAATATTCAAACAAGTTGGGGGTCAGAGTTGGACGTACTCAAGTACACTCTCAGTAAGTGCTGCTTAGTACTGGTTTAGAATTATTGTGGAACTGCTTCAGTGTTGCTTTGTGCTCGTCCAGTACTGCTAAGTATGTGTAAAAAAAACGTTGCAGTCTTACTTTCTATAGTATTGCTTTGTGCTACGTGGCAGGATTTCTTGGGCGTCCAACATACTTTTCTGTATTTCATTCCCCTCAATCCTTTCAGGTTGGGGAATCAGTGTGGGACACCTTTCTGAATTGCCTCCCCTTTTCCAATCGCTGCCCGACATCAGCTGCGACATCCCTGAAGCGTCCGAAACGAGGCAGGTCCATGATCCATGATGTTGCCAGACCTTTGTCGGCCAACACATTGTCGCTTCTCGTCAGCTTCAGTCTTTGACTGAAACTGGCTCCGGCAATTGAATCTTGGTGATCGCAAAGACATGCAGCGTTGGACAATGAGATAGGGATCGCAAGAGGGTGACGGGCTGGAGAACGAGGTAGGACCACCTGACCATTGAGACGTGTGGCAAATAACATCTGAGCTCACATGATCAGAGCTATCCTTGAACATGGCGGGCCTATCATCTCTCCATCAGGTTGAAGCCACGCTGCTTGCACCACACTGATCCATGACGCAAACTCCTTGTCCTCTTCCCCTGCAATAGCTTTTGGATTTTTTGGTTGACTGCGCTGTTTCCAGTTGACGGGATAATGTAATCGTCTAGCTGGCAGATCATTGGCAGATCCATGGCGCGTACTAAGTCAAATGACGGACGATGAGAAGTGCGTTCCCCTGTGCGTCAAGCGCTTCTTCCGCCATCCTCAAGTCCTGCAACGTTGGGGCCCGGGCCTCACCCCTTCAGAGGGCCTCATCCATTGGTCGCTCAAGCCGGGACCCAGAAAATGGGATATGCAGCCAGGTGTCCAACGCGGGTCGTGCTTTGGGAAATCATAGGGTGCCACGTGGCATTTTGACCAGTGATTTGCACGACCATGGCGAGTGAATGCGAAGTTCACATGCTTCGGGGTTGGTCGATCATGCAAGGGAGTAAGAACGCAATTGGGACCTTTGTTCTCTTTACCCAGAGGGTCCAAGTACCTCCTGAGAAGGGGGTAAAAAGGGGTCCAAGTGCCTCCTTAGGTACCAAGGGACTCTGGGTTAAATGAGCCATGTTCATTCTCAGGGAAGGGAACCAGAGCCGGTGGCTCACACCGCATCCAGAGCTTTGAGGCGTTTGGACCACCGCTTTTTGGGAGCACCAAAAGCGCGCCCAATTTTGACCACCCACCCCCTGTGTTCAGAGAACCATGTTATATTAAATCGGTGTTCAATGTGTGTGACACTTTCCAAGAGTGTTCAGAGAATCGTTTGGGTGTGGCTCAAAATTCAAGAGCTAGGGCTACGCAGGGTTTAGTCTTTGGTTCCATTTACCAAGGCGCCATTTTTGGGTACATTATTTTGAGCCACAGCCATTTCAAGAGGTTTCCAAGGCGCGTGACCGTGAGAAACTTTTTTGGCCTCTCAGCTTTGAGGTGAGAAGTGGTGTCGCCTCAACTTCTACGCGCAGAAGCGGCAGCGTTTCCCCTTCGCGGTGACCATTGTCCTTTCCGCGGCCGCGCCCCGGAGAAAAAGAAAAGGAAGGAGCAAGAGATGAGGGGCGTGGCATTTGGAGGAAGTTCGCAAATATGAGTGTTGTGCCATTTTTTTTTTGGGGGGGGTTAAAGGGAAACCTAAGGGGAGGCAGCAACTTGTGTGGGTTCCCTGTGATGTTTTTGGAGTTGGTGCCCTTTTCAGGTTGGTTTCAAGGGAAACCGAAAGCCCAACGCCCTATTTTGGGTCCCGGTCCAAATTTGCAAAATCCCTTGACACGAACCCATTTGGGTATGGGTCAAAATTAAATTACCAGGGGACCGCAGGTTTGCGTCCATGTTTCCATTTACCGGGTTCCATTCTGGGTACCTATTTTTGACCCACAGCCATATGAGGACCGAAAAGCATGTTGCATCTGCTTCCGCCAAGCATTTTCTGGCAACGCAGGGAATGGGTTGAAATGAGCCCCAGGAGCAATCCCTGCTGGTTTGAGGGAATCCCCCTTCCGATTCCCATAATTCCCAACGCCCTGGGTCATCCCCAACTGAGGACCAGCGAGTTTTGAATCATCAGACTTATGAAAAAGATGTGTTCTTTGGCACCAAAAGAAGCAGGGAACATGTGAGGTCTTACACTGTTACACGCAATTGCAACACATGTAGCAGTATGTCAAAACAGGGGATCCAAAGACATGTTTCGGCCTTCCTTGCTTCTTTTCAGCCTGGAGTTTCGTTCTGCTTCAAGTTTGGTTTGCCGGGTTTCTTGTGGGTAGGCTCCACTTTTCAGTCAGACTCCAGGAATTCCTCGCCGCTCTCAAAGAAAAAGCGCGCGTTCCGATGTGGCATGGAAGGTCTTTGGTGCCTTCGGCTTCCTGGCGCTAACCTCCCTCTGCCTCTCGGACCGCAAATTTTCGGAGCGTCGAAGCGACGTGGGTTTCGTCGTCCCAAGTTTCTGTGGGTTCCCTTGGCGTCGCTAACCAACCCAAAGGAGAGTACTGTGCGTGACAAATAAATACACTCAAATGAAACAAGAAGCCAAAGGGGTGCAAGGAGTTTGCTCGCGCTCTCTCTCTCTCTCTCTCCATATATATATATATATATAGAGTCTATATGATTTTGGTGTGTGTGTGTGTGTTGTTTGAGGGTATCCGTTTCAAGGTAGGAACCCAACCAGTTTTTTTCGGGTACTTTGACACATGCCCATGTGGTTCTAGTTTCTTCACTACTTCATCTTCTCACCTTCTTTCCACTCCCGGTCCCCCCCTTTCCAAGCAGTTCCTTTGAACATGTCTCGACCCAGAGGGTCCAAGTACCTCATGAGGATGGCTTTTGGGGGTCTAAGTACCTCCTTAGAAGGTACTTGGACCCTCTGGGCGATGAGACGGCTGGAGTTCGGGTTTCGCTCGTTTAGCGCATCGCATCGAAATGGCTGGGCAGGCATGGGCCTGATGCTGTTCATGTGCCTGCGCCTTCTTTGGATGCGCTTCGAGGGCAACTGCGGATGGCTCTGGGGCTTTTTGGCACTCCTGGCCAGTTTTTTTTCGTTTAAAATCGAAAATGTACTATAACAAAGTTTCGGAGAGGGAAATCCCCATAAATGGGTTGGTGTGCTTTTGTTGAGGGCACCCGTTTGGTGGTTTTGAAAGGACACCAAATGGACACTACCCATTTTGGGGTTTCCAAATTTGACACATATCCGAATGATGTCCCCTTTTGGTCGCTAACAAGGGTTGCAGAGTTCAAGCGGGTTTCCTTTGGGGGTGATTTTTTGTTTGGGAAAACATATAGGCAGAGGATGCGAGTGATTTGCACTAGGTCTCTGAACTGCTACTCAACTTTTCCCTCGGCGTGTTTTTTTTTTTGTTTTACAAACAACAGAAACAACAATATATTTATATGTTCAATCAAATATGGAAACTCTGAAAACAGCTTTTAGGGGTACTCCACTTTACGAACCTTTGCAGGGCACAGGTGAGCATTTTTCTCAAAAACATGCGGTTTGCAATTTGGAAGATGCCACCTCAGTGAACCCAGTTGAAGTGAAACATTGGCATGCCTGGTGCTTTCACTGGTCTACACATCCATCTAAGACGGCCGCGCCACAATCTAACTGGGGTCGATGAAGGTTAGTGCGGGACAATCCTAAGTCGACACCGAGCACCCATTCAGCTTACAGCAGCTACCCTGGCTGACGCTCCAGCAGCAGCCCTCGCCAACGAGTCAGCCCTGCCACCACCATCACCGACGCAACACGGCGGCGGCCGCGGCCACTGTGCGGCTGCCCCTTTGCTTCGTTGCATGATGGGTAGACCTCTTTCTACCAGGTTTGCTTGTGACTCAGCTTTGATGATCTTGACGTCTATGGTTTGTTGGTCCTTGCGTGGCTAGAGCAGCCACTTGCATTTGCCAGTACAATCAGTAGCTCTCACGCCATGTTTGGAGTGTGCTGGGATGTCGGATCTGCAGCAAACAGTAGTTCTCCTAATGTGGGACAGTATTTATTACAGAAGAACCACCCTTCTTTATGGCTATTTGGTTGGATCTTTGGGCTTTAGCTTTTTGGGAAACAGTGGATTTTCAATTGCACCCAGAGTCTGCGCGGATTCTTCAACCTCGCCAGGAGTTTGTGGCTGAGTTCTTGCTGCTGAACTACATCATACTGGCGCTCCTTGGCTGAACGCTGCCTGAACGCTGCCGTATCAAACTCGGGGGAAACAAAGAATAGGTGTCCATTTGGTTCGCTTGTAAGCCACCAAGGAAAGGGCTCCTCAAAAAGTACGAAAGCCCTTGTTGATGCCAGCGATTGGGCAAAACGCAATCCCACTTGCAAAATATGAAAACCCATGACTCAAAATTTGGTTCTAGGTCCGCTTTCTATGATACCATGCAAAGTGGTTGAAGCCTTTTGCCTTTCGACAAACAAACATGTTAGTGTCTCAATATGAGTTGTTTTTGCACTCTTTTGATACAAGGTACATGCATCCTTGATGTGCATTCCTGTTGCCCAGGCCCGCTTTCTGCTGTTCTTCCTTACACAATCCACCATCTGAGGACTGCACATGAGCCTATGCGGGATGCGCTGGTGATAGGCGTGCTTTGCGTGCCGCCCCCAGGCGTCATCCTGGAATCCTGGCGGCTGTGTTGGCCGTGGCCACATTGGTCATGTTTACAGCGTGATCCTTCAGGCCATCGACAATGCAACCCATGCGCAAGCACCTACCATTCCCAAATCGTCTCCATGTCCCAGCATCCCCATGACTATCCGTTCCGCAAGAGATAATGTAAGCTCAATGATGCAGTCTCCATGCAAATGATGTCTCATGCAAGGACGATCTTTGTACTATCTTCTGAGTGATGATTGCAAGTTGGTCGATTCCCCATTCTCACTCATTCTTTTCAGAAACCACCCTGAAAGAAGGAGCTCTGAATTGGAAGGGTACGGCTAGTCAATGAGTGAGCCGGGGATTTCAGCCATTGAAAGCATTCAAGAGACGTCCATGAGAGCAAATCCACAGATTTTGAGATCTTCTTGTATGGGCCCGGCCGCCGTCTCTGTTTGAAGGCAACGATTGATTTTGACATGGACAGGAAAGAGTCAATATATTGGAAGGCTTTCTCAGCCTCACTGAACCTGCAAGTAGAGCCTGTTCCTTCTCCATACCAGTCGGATTCCCGGATGCGCATCCGTTGGGTTTTTTGCCGGGACCAACAGGCCTGGCAGATGCCAAATCGGATGGAGTTTAAAGTGTAGGAACTGCCGAGCGGATCCGCCTCGCGTCGGTTGAGGCGATGCGCCAGCCTCTCTGCTGCACTTGGAAAGACAGCTGGAGAGCAGGTCTGCTTCTCTCAGCCCTTTCAAGGGTAGTACCAATTCTAACAGGACGCAGACCCCCAAATGAAATGGACAGTCTTAACGCGGGAGAACGTCGTTTTGTCGTTTCTGGCAGCTCAGGTTCGGCTTCCAACGTGAGATTAGTGCCGGCGAACGGGTGCGCCTGGTGCCGCGGTGAGAACATGTTCAAACGGGAGACGAGCCAGTGTTGAGATTTTGACGCAGATCGTCGCATCAGCGAAACCTTTGCCAGTGTTGTTTGGCCAAGGAGTTAACGTTGCTGCGTGTGTTCCGGTAACGTCAGTTTGTGTCTTGGGCATATTTGGACAGCTTCTCATTTGGCAGAGAAGCGCAAGGAGTTGATCAATATCCTGAGGCGAGTATGATGATCCTGGGCTTGGTTCATGCGCCTCGGCTGCAAGTTTTGACGCGGTTCGCCACCTCGGGCCACGACGGACTGGCTCATCTCTCCCATGTCCCTGGCTTGCGTATTGATCCCCACCCCCTTCAAAATGGAATTGGGGGAGGGGGTGACCCCTGGAATTCCATTTAGGGTTCCATTTTCCCTTTTGTGAGGATGACTAGATGAATGGAATTGGGGACCCCCCCACCCTCCTTCCCCTTAAGGTAGGGGGATGGGTATTGAATGTTTTGACCCCTCATGAAACATGCTGCATGGCAAGTCGGGTGGTCAAAGCTTGCATGTATCGATCGCGCGCCAGATCTTCCTGATGTGCCTTGCCGCTTGGAAGGCAACTGAGGAGTTTCAGTTTATTGTGATGCCAAACGTCTATACTTGGTCAGCGTGCGCGCGGCATTGTAAGAGCCAGGGCTCATCTTGCAGTGATTTGTTCCGAACATGCACCCCTCCCTCCAATCATGGAAGCTGACCAAAGAGTTTTGGAGCACGAAAGCTTTCCTTTGGTGGAAGCCCCCCAACGTCCGAAGAACCCTTGGAAAGGAGATACGAGGCATACGTCTAGAATGGGTGACCCTCGGCATGGAGACGCGTCGAGTTCGGTTTTGAGGTGTGCTTCGCCCTCGAAACCGTCTACCAGGACCAGAACTGGAGCGCGCCGGGGCCTCTGGTTTTCTTTCACCGGCCGGAGGGAACGAGTTGTCACAAAGTGCCATTGAAGGTTTTAAACACGTTGCGTCCCAGTTTGACGTGAGTTGCCTTGCAGGGTGATGTGTTCAGGGTGATGTGTTTTGGGCAAGCATATAGAACCCATTCTGTTCAACGTAGAACTGCTGACGAATTGGAGCATTCAGAGGCAGCCATTTTCATCCCGTGGCCCTCTCGCTCGTGGGTGTCTTCGTGGCGATGCAGGTCACTTTGAAAATTGCTTGCCGGCCAAGTTTGCTTTGTAGCCGGCAAGCCTTGCCAAACCACATCTGGCTTGGTTTTGGCTTGAATGATTTTCCAGAGGCCAAGACAATTAGATGCTTGCCGAGGTTCGGCGCATCCATGAACACAACCACCTTCTACCCCATTCAGAGCAGCGAGCTCAGCCGGCTGAAGGCTTCGGGACCCGTGGCCGGTGGCGCCTAACGAAAGGCGCGGGCGGTACCAAGAGTTCAAGGCACCGAGAGCCAAAGGACGCCATCGGGGTCGTTTGCTGGGCAACGGATCTTTAGACTTTTTAACTTTTGGTTGAAGTCAAGTTGGGGTTTCCACTAAACCCCCCCAAAAAGTCAAACACTTTTTGCAGGGTCAACAGCAACCAAGTTGGCGTCCTCTGCTCCGAGGTCATCCTGTTCGCTCTTACGAAATGTACCCCCTGCACCTCGGCTCTCTCCGGCGATGCGGGCAATGCAAGCAATGCGGGCCATCCGGCAGTTCGGCTCGGCATCCATTTGCCATGGGCGATTCACCTGGATTTAAACATTGCATTCCTATCTAGGATGGTTTCAGCAACATTCCAATTTCACCAAGGCACTAGGGTTTGGTTGTTCAAGCGTATTTGTTGATATGTTGCTTTGCTTGCCACATTCTTGCTTCTGGCGTTTCTCTGTTTTCTGGCTGACTTGGCGCTAGACATTACCAAGCAAATCGCAGAAGGCATGGACGTCATACGTAATACAATCAGCATCATAAGTGTCCTTTTTGGTTTGCTTGTGCAATAGAGAGCGATGCCTGGTTTCCCTCCCGGCAACCTCGACTGTCGAGCAACGCCTGTCAAGTACATGAGCTCGGAACAAACTCTTTTGGCTTCAGTGCAGATTTCTTGGATCTGACAGCAAAAGGCGAACACGTGTGGAACCCACCAAGAAGGGGCCTGTGGCCACAAAATAGCCAATGATTGGCCTGCTGGTGGTTCAATCAACTAGGGAAATCCATCAATTTTCCAAAAAGGACACCTATCAGCATATGCCAGGACCTTCCATCGCTTCAGAGATCCTGGCTCACTCCACCGCAAAAAGTGGCGTCAAATCGGATCACGGCAGGTAAGAGGCTCTCTTCATACGGGTTTTTCGCTCTCTATTTCCACCATGGTTTCACAGATCACCTGTTGCTCGCCTTTTTTGTATCCATACGAGTGCCTGAGGTGTTGGGTTGGGAATATCGGGGACCCATAGGCGTCACATTTGCTCCGGCGTCCGTTCGCCAAGGTGCCTTTCCCGGTTTCCTGCGGGGCGGGATGAGCTGAGCGTAGCGGAGCGGGGCTCAGAGAGAGTTGCATGCCACGGATCCGTTGCTTTCGGGTTGGCTGCTTGCTCAGTTGAGTGGTTCAATGGGAAAGGGGGAAGCCCAAAACAAGATGCCTACTGTATGACAAGTCTCGGACAGTATTCTAAGGTTGGCTGAATGAATATATATTTTAAAAAAAAAAAAGTGTATATATATATATATACACATTTACATTCAAACTATAAACCAAATGATTTGTTCCACAAAATCTAAACACATGTCGTTTTCCGGTTGTGTGGTGTACCCGAGTTGGTCCAGTTGCCGGCTGGTTTTTTTCAGGATTTCGGGCTTATGGCATCGCTCACCTACGAGCACCTCGGCGAGGGTTTGAGCCAAAGCTAGCGTCGGTGGCCGTTCAGCTTTCAGCTCATAAAGCCAAGGGACGAGAGGCCTGGGCATAGGAGTGCATGGCATGGGTCCCCCAGCGATTGGTGCCCTTTCTCACCGTTTCTTTTTTGGAAAGGGGAGGGTTCGGAACCCTACTAAAATAGACAAAACCGAAAAAATAATGGTACCCTTATTCTAACCTCTCTACTGGAGGACCTAGCACAGAAAAGGCAATGCATGAGGCTTGGCTATGGAAGAGGATGGCATTGGGATCCTTTAGGGCTAGTCCTGGGGGTCAGACGTAATTCTCCAGCTTTTTCTTTGGGCAGTAAAGAGGTGGAGTTTTCAGTTTTCCGAGTTGGCCAGGCTGCTGTTGTGTAAACCCCCGACCTGTTCTTTTTTGGCGGGGTTCTCAAAAGAAAAAAATCACCACCCTATGCCTTCCGATGTAAAAACTTCTGATTCTCTTCCTTGGTAACCTGAGGCTCTGACGAAAAACGGGTTCACGGTTTGTGCCACATGCCACAGGTCCTGATTCTCTTCACCCTTGTCCTTTTAGTTTGATAGATATGGTTTGTCCCAGAGAGTATTTATTATTGCGGGAGGGGAGGGGGGGTCCGCGTTTATTATGTGGGGGGAACGAGTTACCAAAAAGATGGTGGATGGCAATGTGGGATCTGCTCAAATGTGATTACCATCTCTGTTGGAAAGATGGCAATGATCCCATGGTAATTGCATCTCTGTTGGAAAGATAAGGGGGATCCGAACAGTTGTGTAAACTCCCAGCAGCCAGCAAGTCTTTTGGGCCACACATGTCGTTCTGATTCTCTTCACCCTTGTCCTTTTGGTTTGCTTTGAATACCCAAAATGACGGTTTTCCTCCCAGTTTCTCTTCAAACCCACAGAAAAGGGAGTACCAAATCCCATGTTGGGATTGCATCTCTTCCGAGGCCTCCATCACGTGTGGGGGAGGGCTTGCGGCACTACTTCCCTGGCTGGCACGTGGAGAAGAAGCCGGACAGCGCCTGGGCACGTGTGGACCACCCCCCAATTCCTTTTGGTTGGTATGGTTGGTATGTGGAACCAAAAGAAAAGCGTGAAGGCATTTTGGGCCCCTTCTTTGGTATGGTTGGTATTTGGAACCAAAAGGAATGCTTTTGGGTGACTCCTTTGAAACCCCCCATGCAGTACGCAAAATTGTTTGGAGTTCGGGTGGGGCTCATGAAGCCCCGGTATTGAGATTCATCAACTGCAAGGACCACGTCATCTCCGCCCTCGTGGCTCGTCTTCTTTTTTAGGGGACCCCAAAAATGGCTGGTTTCCTTTTGGTTGTGAAGAACCACGTAACAAAAAGGGGCTAGCCCTAAAACAAGACGCGCCACCCACATCTTGGAGGCTGGAATTTTAAAGAAAGCACGTGACGAGTCAGGTGGAGCAAAGGCGATGGATTTGCCTCATGTTTCGAATGTGTTCAATGGTTGAACCCAAAAGAGAAACCAAATACCTTCACATGTTCCATATGGGGAACGGTGAATCTGTACGGGCCTTTTTCGGTAGCAAAGGGGATGGGATGGGGCACACTCGCCAAAATGCCAAAATGGAAAGTGGGGTTACTCACCAGGACTTCACCATGGTTCAGATCTATGGAGACACTCCCATGGTTTTCAAAGTACAGCCCCCCGAAGCCTCCTTTCAGCTTGCAGACCCACAAAATGGGCAGGGCGGGCAAGGCTGACTTCCGAGTTTTTGCTGGATTCCTTGCTTTCCACTCACCTGTTGAGTGGCACATGTTGAAGGAATCAATGGTTCAAGCCGCATGCCTCGCCATGTCTTGTTCGACGCACCTCAGGCAAGCCTCTGCTCTACTTGCTAACAGCTCAAAATAACGCTTCTGCAGGGCAGTCCCAGGGAGCCTTTAAGGAATCCTTGCAGGCCTGGATGGCACTTTTTCTTTTTTCTTTTTTTCCGTGGTGTGTTCCCGGGTTTGTTTCAGGGGTGCGGAGATTTGATGTTTGAAGATTTGGTTTTAGACCTATCTGAAGGCCTTGAGTTTGATTGACATGCCTCCATGTTGCACAGTTTGGCCAGGCATAGAGGGGTGGACCTTGACATCTACATATGATTTTGCTGTTATGAATCCCTAGTGTATGTTTCAATTAAACGTTGGTTGTGGCTCCATTCCGCAAAATCCGCCCTTCTTTGGGACCCCAAACCATTGGCCATGGGTTCATGTGGACCTATCAGCCTTTGATGACCATGGCGGAAAATTCCCCCTACGCGTGTTGCCTGGAAGAGTTTGCTTCGGCTCGGTTTCAACGGATCCCAAGGACCGCATTGGCACTTGGTCGGACCGAGGTGAATTGGCCAATTCGATTGCTTTGCTATTCAAAGGCGCAACTGCCAGTCCCTGAGTGAAAGCGCCAAAGGCTGTATTGGCTGGCGCGCCAAAAGAAGGTGCTTCCGGCTGTATTCCGTTTGCTGCTTGCGAGGTGCTGGGAGCATGAACTGGGTTCGCTTTGTCATGTTCACCACAGACGACAACAGCAGCTTGGGCAGGTTGAATGCGTCCTTCGCGCGCGGGATCTCTGTGAACAGGTTGAAGTTCTGCTGAAATCATTGGCTTCCTCTAGGTGTTTCTTTAAGCACCATCCAAGGGTTGTGCTCTTTTTCCCCTAGCAGCTTGTCCCTTTCACCAAGATGGGTTCCCTTGTCGTTCCCCTGAAGAGTTGGGATTGGGCGGTTCCGAGTTCTGCATCTTGGATATCAGCTGAGCTTGTTTGTTGGACAGCCCTTGCGTGGTTTTTTCGAGGTGTCACATGAGCCTTCAAAAATAGATAGAGAGACGGAATGCACCCCTTCAACCGCTCGTGGGTTTCTGAGACTGCCCTAGTTTGGTCCTAGTCTACTGAAGTAGCTACGAAACACCTGTGAAGAAACTTATAGACACATTCTACATGAGATTCAAAATGATAAGAAAAATGTTTAAATACTCTAGTTCTAGTTTCTAGTCTCGCGAAATAGCTAGAAATTGTGAAGTATATAACTTGTAGAGGAAAACCTAATTGAAGTTCACAGAATATCATAATTAGAGTTAAATAGACCAACTAGGACTAGAACCAAGGATCTCTCAACTACGGCTTGGACCAAACTGGGACGAGACGATTTACCTCTGATTCTTATGGTATTTAAATGTCAAGTATAAACTCCTTTGTGATGTTCTTGATAATTGCTAATGATTTCAGTAGACTAGGACCAAACTAGCACTAGAACTAAGGATCTTTCAACTAGAACTCGGACCAAACTAGGACTAGAGAGAGAGAGAGAGAGTCTTCGTTCTAGTCTTAGATGGATAAATCCTTTGGGCTGGTAGCTAATGTTTCCTGACCCAGTGGTTTAAAGCAGACCACCGCAAAAGGAAGCTCCTTTTATTCTTCAGGTTGACTGCCTGCGGTTATTTCATCGTCTAAGGCACCACGGTCATCGCGGTGCGAGGCACCTTGGATTCTCTGGATGTGCTACATGATGTAACTCTCTGGCTGGTGCCGGCCGTCATGCAGCCGCTTGGCGACCAACACAGCGACCAACAGAGGGATGGTGTCCCGCCTTTGAATTCACTTCCGGTTTGTCCTGTTCCTGCCCTTCAAGCTTTTGGGTTTGGACCATGGCGCTGGAAAAGAAAAAGGTTTGGAGTTTGTTTGGCCAATCCACTTTGGCAGTGACATGGAAGCCACATCGATTTAAACGCCATCGGATTGGTAACTTGCAAAGGCCACTCACCCGCTAAACTAAGCTACCATCCGGATTATTTGACATGTCGTGTGTGTTTTTTTTACAGAACAGGACACCCCGAGCGTGCGCTTTTCTATTATTGTTTTTATCAAACAAAAACACGATATGTTTGACACTTTTCCCAAACACACGAAACAACCTGGAGAAAAAAAACAAAATAAAACAAGTCTATGTCACATGTCCTGGCTTGGGGGGGGGTAGTCTTGTGTGTGTGTGTGTCTTTGTTGTTTTTGGTTTTCTCGAGGTTTTTCACACTTTCCACAAAGACACAAAAGAGATCGAGAAAACCAACAAAAATGAAACTCTGTCAGCTGTCCTGACTTGAGGGGACACAATATGTGTTTGCTTGGTTGTCTCGAGTTGTTTTTTGTACTTTACCGTTTCCGGCCTGTTTGCAAGAGCTTTTGTGATCAAATGCGCTGGTGTAGTTCACATCCAAGCCCTAGTACAGTAAGCTAGAGATGGCTTCCTCTGGTTTGACTCCTTCCTTATTACGTTCTTCTCAATTTTATTTAGAATTATACAAGTAGAACTTGATAAATATATTAAGTATAGTTCATAAGAAAGAAGTTAGAGGTCCCCAAATTGTTAGGCTGTTCAAATGCCTACTGATCTGCAAACACAATTCTATTGGACAGGAAATTGTGTGCAGCATCCATTTTGAAATAGAAGAAGCATGATTTAAGTTCTACTTTAAACCAAAACGTATGTTTAGATTCTTTCCTTATTAACATATGTTTAATGTGAGATAGGAATTAAGTAGAACTTGATAAATATATTGAGTACATTTGAGTACATTTCGTAAGGAAAGGACTTAGAGGTTCCGAACATGTTTACTACATGTTGCTTAGATGCTTACTGATTTGTAAGGACAATTCTGTTGGAAAAGGACTCCCGTGTACCATTTATGTTGAAATAGATTAATCATAATTGAAACTCTAGTTTGAATTATACAATTTTATTGGAGTCTTTCCTTAATAATGTCTAGTCAATTTCAGTTAGACATTGGGTCGAATTTGGTGTAGATATTAAGTAGATTTCAGAATTCAGAGGTCCCAAAATTGTGTTGTTTGTGTGAAGCCCCGGAACTACCACGGTCAGAAAACAACATTTTACATTTAGAATTTCGATGTAAATCCTTTCCCATACGTAATTTGATAAGGAATGAATCCAATCACAACTTCAGTTTCACAATATAATTTGAATTAAAATAAGTCTATTCTAATTGATAATGTATAGTATGTTCTTTTCAACTTGTTTTTTTACAATTCAGCTGACATTTGAACACACATTATGCAAACATAGTTCAAGTCGAGTTTCCACTCGAAAAGTGAAAAAAAAGCGCACGCTCACAGCGTCCCGCTCTTTTTTTACGGGTCACCTTCTTGGGTTGGAGTCAAAGGGAGGCCAAACGGGAAACCGCCCTCTTGTCGGGTCACCCTATTTTGACACATACCCAGTTGAAGGGAACCGAGCATTTGGGAGTTGGGATCATTTCCAGAAGAATTTCTGAGATTTTACAGCTAATAATCGTTGCTAAGCAATCAATGATCTTTGCCATGTCATCTATTTCTCTTCTTGGAAGTCTTGTTTGTGGACATCATATGTATACCGTAGGTTCAGAAAGTGATACAAGAGCTTATTTTACAGGAGTCACACTGTACAAAAAATATATTTAATTGGCTGTTTGCATGTCTCTCCAATCCATCTTTATTGCACCTTAGACTTACTTTTGTCTTCTGCTTTCTTCTCTTGTCATAAATGTTTACTATAGGTGGGTCAACAGGAATAATTCTAGAAAATGATGCAGTGGATCTAGGATTACATGATACATATTATGTTGTAGCACATGTTCATTTTGTTCTTTATGTAGGAGGTATAATTGCCATCTTCTCTGGAATATTCTTAAATGGAGAGAAAATCGTTGGCACTAAGAATTTATTACTTCAATCCTCATGTACACTCTCTATTTATCATTGTAATTTAATATTTATGGCTGTTATCCTTACCCTTTCCCCAATGCATTTCTTAGGATTTTATGTTATGCCAAGAAGAATCCTTTCCAGATCATTTTCATTCCTGGAAAGACGTGTCATTTATTGGATCAGACATAACTTTCCTTCTTGTTCTTTTCTCTCGATTCCTTGTCATTGTATTTTTACCCTTTCTCACCTATTAATATCCTATCTACAATTCCAGAGTTTGTATGTTATTACTAACATTATCCTACCTATGGATTGTTCGGCATGCTTCTTTGATGCTTTTGGAATCACATCGTGGATGAAAAGTTAATGCCGGAGAGACTAGAAGGAGTGGAATGAATGCAAAGGAAGAAGAAGTAGATAGTAAAAGACTAGAAAGACAACTAACCATAAGATTTGTATAAAAAGCCAATATATGTGTATATATATATATACAGATTTATTTAAAAGTCCATCATTCTAAATTTTACAATGCATGATAAAAAAAAATATAGGAAACAGAGTCTTGGAAAGAACAATCAAATAATATTAGGAAGAAAGTATGATAACATATTTATATGTAATTCCTCTCTTTATCTTCTCTGTATCTCATGGTCTATTTTCCTATCATTCACATTCCTTTTTCCTTTCTATCTATACCTTCCTTTACCTTCTCTCAGCTGTGTGTCCTCACTCTTGTTCAAGCACTGAGAACTATGCCGTTACAAAGGTGAGTCTTGGAAAGAGGAAGGAGAGGGACATTTCTATCCGTTGGGAACTCAGCCTAAAATAATTTCTGGAAGACAAGGACGACATTAAGAAAGGCATTACACCATTCTATGCCTCTTCTTTCATCTTCTGTTTGTTATGGATGGTCAGGTTGTTGGGTCTCACTTCAATGGTTTTTGTGTTTTTGCGCTACGAAATGCCTGAGGATCTTCAACTTCTTTTCGCCAGACATCACGAACGGAGTCTGGGGTGTTGCCATTGCCAGGCGGGGCCCGTCCAAGCCTGCGGTGAGCCCTGGCCGGT